TCGCTAGTGTGGAGGTGGGTAACGAGGTCCTCTACTGTGGCAAAGGCGGACAGCTCGGGAAACAGGTAGGGCAGGAGAAGACGGCCTAGAGCAGCAGTGGCAAGGGAGGAGTAACGGGCGACTACAGCATCGTACAGTGCTTTAGCAGTCTTGTGCTGTCCGAAGTGAGCGCATTCGGCTAACGGCAGGTGGTTGCGAATGGCTAAGCGAGCAGCAGCGTCACGGGTAAGCCACTGTGAGCGAGTCGCACTGTCAGCTGTGGCGAGAGGGGCGAGAGAGGCTCTAGACGTGTGGTCAAACAACGAAACGCTGTCTCTAGAGTCGCTCACTAGGTATAGCTGTAAGTCGTCGAGCCACGTGTCAAACTGGATCGGACGGCCCTCATGATCGAACGTGAGGACACGGAGAGAAGCCATAGCGGGCAGAGCTGGGTGGCGTGCTACCAGCAGAGCAGCACGCAGGCAGGGCAGAGCGGCGCGCGGCTAGGATGGCCAGCAGCAGGGCGGGCAGGAGCTGGGCGATGCAAGCAGCAGGGCGGGCATGGAAAGGGGGCGGCGAGCGGGTTGCCAGAGGGCGGTGCGCAGGCTGCAAGGGGCGGCGAGCAGGCCGCAAGGGGCGGCGAGCAGGCTGCAAGGGGTGGCGCGCGGGCTGCAAGGGGCGGCGCACGGGCTGCAAGGGGCGGCGAGCGGGCCTAGGGGCGGCGGGCGGGCCGCAAGGGGCGGCACGCGGGGCTGCAAGGGCGGCGCGCGGGGCTGCAGGGGCGGCGCGCGGGGTCGCAAGGGGCGGCGCGCGGGCTGCAGAGGTGGCGCGCAGGCTGCAGGGGCGGCTCGCGTGCTGCTAAGGGCGGCGCGACGGGCTGCAAAGGGCGGCGCGTGGGCCAGCAGGGCGGCGCGCTGTTAGGGCAGGGCAGTGAGTGGGGCAGCTCTGTGGTGGGCCCTAAAAAAAACGGTCCTAGGGAAGGACCTGCTCTGGAACCATGTCAGAATGCTAAACGAGATTGAATGCATTGAACAGAAGTAGGGTACAATTGCTAACCCTAATTGGGTTGTACCCCTTATGGGCTACCCCACTATTACCTACACAAAGTAAGCTATATAACATTTTGACATGGAAAAGCGTGGGGATAAAGAGGGAAGGGGGAAAGGGATGGGAAGAGGGGGCAGGGTCGAAGTTATTGTTACGTATTCAACTTCTTACGACTCTTTGTTATGCTTGTTTGCTCCCTCTCCTCATTGTATGTATGTGTGTGTATATGTATCTGTGCATGTGTGTGTACCGCATCTATGTGGGTGCGTGTGCTTGTGTGTGTCAATTAGTTGTTGTGATAATTTCAATGTGTGATGCTGGTGTGCATCGTGTTTGCAGCTGAGGTTGTCATCGTCGTTGGGGCAGTGTGTTTTCACTGTGTCAACGACCCCATCAATCTCACCTGCAGCATTAATGCATATTAAGCATCCACTTTGATGTCTTCACAACTTATAGGCAGTTAGGCAGTTAGGGGGTGTGTTAGAATATACTTATATATTCTTTATAACTGTCTGTAGTGTAGACTATAGTGTATCTCACTTGCTGTAGGTGGTGTACCATGTGGCTATATCTTGTACCTTGCTCAATAGTGAAGCCCCTTCTTTCTCGACTTTTTCCTTGCTTCAACTCTCTCGACACCCAAGCTATGTCTCCTAAGCCTAAACCTAGTTTCCTAGGTGCTTAGTATTCTGACATGCTATCCGAGTGATTTCCGAGTGACCTACCTCATTGGGCCCACCCTTCACTCCTAATGCGTCACTCTACTGCCCGCCGCGCGCCCCAGGCGTGCGTCGGTTTTCTGCCCGTCGTGCGCCCCGGGCGCGCGCGTAGATTTTCAGCCCGTCGCGCGCCCCGGGCGTGCGTCGATTTCGTGCCCGTCGTGCGCCCTCTCGTCGCGCGACCTGCTGTCGCCCGCGCAGCCCCTACACCGCCCCCCCCCCCCCCCCCCCCCCCCCCCCTTCGCCCCCCCCTTCTCCTCCATCCCCCTGCTGATCGTGCAGCAGGGGGGGGAGGGTATGGGGGTGGCGGGGGTGGCGAACGACGGTTTCCTGCCCGTCGCTCGCCCTGCTGTCGCCCGCGCGGCTCCTACACCGCCCCCCCCCCCCCTTCTTCTCCATCCCCCTGTTGCGCGTGCAGCAGTGGAGGGGAGGGTAGGGGGTGGCGGGGGTGGCGAACGACGGTTTCCTGCCCGTCGCTCGCCCTGCTGTCGCCCGCGCGGCTCCTACACCGCCCCCCCCCCCCCCCCCTTCCTCTCCATCCCCCTGCTGCGCGTGCAGCAGTGGGGGGGAGGGTAGGGGGTGGCGGGGGTGGCAAACGACGGTTTCCTGCCTGTCGCTCGCCCTGGTGTCGCCCGCGCGGCTCCTACACCGCCCCCCCCCCCCCCGCCCCCCCTTTCTCCTCCATCCCTCTGCTGCGCGTGCAGCAGTGGGGGGGAGGGTATGGGGGTGGCGGGTGTGAGTAGTCAGCCGCCCACCACCTCCTCCTCTCTCTCCCTGCCACACTTGTTGTGGTGTCGGGAGAGGGGGGGAAGCTTGGAGGTTAAGGGGGTGGCAGGAAGGGATCTGCAGCACCAGCCCCCCCGCCCCCCCCTTCTCCTCCATCCCCCTGCTGCGGGTGCAGCAGTGGGGGGGAGGGTATGGGGGTGGCGGGTGTGAGTGAACTGCTGCCGCCTCTCCTCCTCTCTCTCCCACTGCTGCACATGCCGCTGTGGGGGGGGGGGGGGGGAGGGAGGGTGTGGGGGAGATGAGGGAGTGGTGGTAGGGATGTTGAGGGGTGTGAAAGGGAGGTTTGGGGAAATGGGGGAAGTTGAAAGGGGTAGATGCCGTGAAGCCAGCAGCTCCAGTCGCCCGTGAGACCGTTGCGCCAGTTGCCCGTGAGCCCGTTGCTCCTGTCGCCCGTGAATCAGTTGCTCCAGCCGCTCGCTTAGCTGCGGAGCCAGTTACTCCAGTTGCCCGTGTGCCAGTTGCTTCATTTGCCAGTGTGCTAGTTGCTCCAGTTGCCCGTGTGCCAGCAGCTTCAGCCGCCACCCACCACCTCCTCTCCTCTCATGGTCCCTCCTCCTCTTCACTTGCCCTCTCCTTCCTCCGCTGCGCCTGGTGTACCCCTTCAGGGGGTGTTGTGCACAAGGTTCTTCACTACAGATAGTTAGGGGGTGTGTTAGAATATACTTACATATTCTTTATAACTGTCTGTAGTGTAGACTGTAGTGTATCTCACTTGCTATAGGTGGTGTACCATGTGGCTTTCTCCTTGCTATATCTTGTACCTTGCTCAATAGTGAAGCCCCTTCTTTCTCGACTTTTTCCTTGCTTAAACTCTCTCGACACCCAAGCTATGCCTACTAAGCCTAAGCCTAGTTTCCTAGGTGCTTAGTATTCTTACATAAACATGACGTTGTGCATGTCGTGCTTGTGAGATGCGTGCGTTTCAAGGCAAGGTGTCACAATGCATCGTGTATGCAATTAGAGGTTGTCATCGTCGTTGGTGCAGCGTGTATTCGCTTTTTTTCAACGACCCCATCAATCTCTGTTGCTGCATTGATACGTTCCAACATTCCTTGAAGCATCCGCACCACACTCCATATCGTGTTCATTTGTACAAGTGCATTCAGTCATGTTGATGCCATGTTCGATCGTGTCATCCGTCGTATTAATCGACGATGCTGAGACGGTCGGAAAAAAATCATGGTTTTAACATGATATGTGATTGGTTCCGCTTTTGGGATCTCATTAACGAGTGATTTTTATCCACTATTTGAGGATTTCTCTTGAACATGTTGCCAAAAAGTTGTTTAAAGGGTGCTCCAAAAACTGCTTAAAAATATATTCTGAAATGATATTATTGTAAAGTGAAACCGATTATATATGGTTGCTACGCAATCCAAAAACACCCTTGGTTGTAATCACTGTAACACATTCACATTTCACATGTCAGATTTCACAGGTAAATGTGTTACCTGCAAATACCCCATGATGTGAGTTTTACTGAGATCACGGGATTCCAGCCAGGTCACAGGTCGCCCACCATCGAGGTCGCCGAGCCGCAGATGAAGGACGTTCGGAGTCGGAACATGGTTGGGCCCTGCGGCAGGGCTAGAGTGGGCTCCACCAACCAGTGCACTAGCTGCCCATCCCTGACGTGGCATCGGCTGGTAGGGGAGGGGAGCTCCCGCCTGGAAACTGGAAACAAGGAGGAACAGGTGGCTGGACCATACCCCTTAGTACCGTAACCATATTAACTAAATCGCACTGCAACCGAAGTATTTCTCGGAATTGGCTCTGCAGATGTCTCGATAGCTGTATCCGCTGAATCCACCGTCGCGAATGGATACTAAGGCGTACGCTCAGGAGGAAAATGGATGTGTACTCGTTAGTTGGAAAAATAAGAACAATCCAGCTCTCACGATTTCGGTGTTTCACTCAAGGCTACCTACTGCCATCTATCTCCAGACTCTTGTCATCGTCTTTGTTCCGAAATAGCAAATGCAGCCACTAGGAGCCTAGACCGCGAGTTTCCCAGTGAGAAGTAAGAGAGAGCAAGAGAGGATTTAGGCTCGTTGCCGTGAGTCGAGGCTCGACCGAACAACCTTCCATCCGAATAGGCACATTCGCTTGAGAGGCGACGCTGTATCTTCGCGCGTGGCACGGCCATGTAGAGCCGTCGTTTGCGAAGCAGTGACGTTTCTCGCGAGCAAATCGCTCGTCATCGAAGCAGCGATGTCAGGACTAAGAAAATCATCGGCATTTAGACCCGTCAATCATGTACGATGTTACAATGTTACCACCGGGCCTCGTCGAATCTCGCTATACCCGATTCTCCTGGCAACTCTTCTGATCCTAGGTTCCTCCTCTGTAGCCTCCAGCGATACCAACAGTAGCGACGAGAAGTCGAAAGGCGACGAGGTGAAATCCGGCGATCATCCACAAGGGATATGGGAACGAATCGTTTCAGGAGCGTTAGGGATCGATCAGGAGATGGAGGAGTTTGAGAAGAGTCTGGGAATCGGTGGCAGCAATTCCAATGAGAAGCCATCGACTATGGGGACAGAATCAGATGGGAAAAATATATCTTCAGGGAATTCGGGAAGCCGAAGTGATGGGAAAGCGGAAGATTCGAAATCGCACGGCGAGGATGCGGAAGAGGAGGTCGAGGAGAAAGAGACGGTCCAGATGCTCGCTGACGGAGATGCGGACGGAATTCCGATTCTGATTGGCGTGAAGGAGCCGAAGAAGGAGGCTAAGAGTAAGAAAGCTGAGGAGGAATCGAAGAAGGCATCCGGGGAAGGCGGGGGGAAAGACGACAAGGAGAAGGAGAAGGGGAAGGATAAGGGAGAGGAGAAGCGAGAGGATAAGGGAAAATCCGGAGGAAAGGAGGGAGACGTGGGAGCAGGGACAGGAGACGGAAAAGCAGGGAAGGAGAGCGCGAGCGCGGCGGATGATAACCCGGATCAGTACGAAGGGGAGGAGGGCGATGGCGCGCAGAAGAAGGCGAAAGGCGGCGGGAAAAAAGGAGGCAAAGGCGAGAACGTGGGAGAGATGATGGAGAAGATTCTAGAAAGACTGGATGACATGGAGGGCGAGGGGGGGAAGTTCAATGAAACCCTAGAAAAGCAGGAGGCGGTTTTGGAGACGGTGGCGCGGGTAGGGAAGCACCACGTGCACGAGAAGGAGGAGAAGGAGCGCGAGGAGCGGGAGAAGGCGGAGCAGGAGGAGGCGGAGAGGGAAGCGGAGCTGAAGGCGAAGCAGGAGGCGGAAGCAGCTGCTGCTGCGGCAAAGAACAGCTGGGACGGAGGGGTGACCGGTGGTGGAGAGCGGTCGTTTTTCGATATTCTCCTGGGGATAGACGCTGTGCCGCCACCTCCGCCCCCGCCGCGCCCCACTCCTAAGAACGTCACTAAAGCGTCAGCTAGAAACGAGACCAAGAAAGAGCAGGAGGCGGAGCAGGAAGACGAGAAGGACGTTCCTAGGCTCATAGACTCCCAGGATAACGAATACGTTATCAGCAGCCCCGGTAAGGGGTCCAAGATGCAGCTACAGGAGGATTTCACTCTAATTTCGGATATCGTGAAGGTGATAGTGGCGGCGGCGCTGGGCGGGCTGGCGTGTGGGCTGATGGGGCAGCCCATCATCCTGGGATACATCGTTGCTGGCATGGCCATCGGCCCTGGCGGGCTGGGGCTCATTCACGAGCTTGTACAGGTCAGTAGGGTTACCACATGTGGTGTTACAGGGCGGTGGGTGCTAGGAGGGCTGGCGTGCGGCCTGATGGGGCAGCCCATCATCCTGGGATACATTGTCGCTGGCATGGCCATCGGCCCAGGCAGGTTGGGCCTTATCCACGAGCTCGTGCAGGTGGGTAGGGGTTACCACATGGTATTGCTTATTAGGGTTAGGGTTATCGCATTGGTGTTACAGGGTGGTGAGTGCTGGGAGGTCTGGCATGCGGACTAATGAAGCCCTATAGGTTGCTGCATGTCTGTTGTTATGAGTAGGGCTACCACATTGGTTGAAGGCAGTTGGGTTGCCGTATGAGTGTTGCAGACAGCCTATCAAGCAGTCAGTAGGGTTACCACATGGTGAATGACAGTAGGGTTATCACATGTGGAGGTCAGTAGGGTTACCACGTGAACTCTTACAGGGCAGTGAGAGTTGGGATGGCTGGTATGTGATTGATGGGGGTTCAGCCGAGCCAAGATGCAGGGAGTGCACAATGTGGCTCCAACCAAAGCACACACACACACACACACACACACACACACACACACACACACACACACACACACACACACACACACACACACACACACACACACACACACACACACACACACACACACACACACACACACACACACACACACACACACACACACACACACACACACACACACACACACACACACACACACACACACACACACACACACACACACACACACACACACACACACACACACACACACACACACACACACACACACACACACACACACACACACACACACACACACACACACACACACACACACACACACACACACACACACACACACACACACACACACACACACACACACACACACACACACACACACACACACACACACACACACACACACACACACACACACACACACACACACACACACACACACACAGACACACACACACACTTCTTCTCCTTTCTCTCCTGACTGTAGGTTGGATTCCTAGAACAGTTCAGGGTAAACCCTGCAATTGCCTTTCTTCTCACCCACTTACCCACCCTTCACAGGTGGAAACCCTAGCCCAATCTGGAGTCGTCTTCCTCCTCTTCGCCCTGGGGGTGGAGTTCAGCCTGGCCAAGATGCAGGGGGTGCACAACGTGGCATCAAAGCACACGCACACCCCCTCCTCTTCCTCCTCTCCCCCATCTCCCTCCTCCCCCTCCTCTATCCCTCCCATGCAGGTGGAAACCCTAGCCCAGTTTGGAGTTGTCTTTCTCCTGTTCGCCCTGGGGGTCGAGTTCAGCCTGGCCAAGATGCAGGGGGTGCACAACGTGCCTCTAAGCCACAGGCCTTCCCCTCCCCCCTCTCCATCCTCACCCTCTTCTCCCTCCTTTCGGCTCTGCAGGTGGAAACTTTAGCCCAGTTCGGAGTGGTGTTCCTGCTGTTCGCCCTGGGGGTCGAGTTCAGCCTCGCCAAGATGCAGGGGGTGCACAACGTGGCGCTGGGCGGCGGAGTGCTGCAGATCGCAATTGCCATGATTCTGGGCGGCATCTTCAGCTCCAACACGCCGCAGGGGCTCTTCATTGGTGCGTAGCTATAGGGGGATCACGGGGCCAGGACTAGCTATGTGTCGGTGGGTGTGTGAGTCAAGGCCGTGGGTAGTGGTCTTCTGCTCCCTGTAGCAGCATGGAGTGCTGCAGATCGCCATGATTCTGGGCGGCATCTTCTCCTCCAAAACGCCGCAGGGGCTCTTCATAGGTGCGAGTCTGTAGGGGGGGTCACAGGGCCAGGGTTACCTTCAAGTTGGTCAAGGGGTTAGGTAGCGGTGCCTGTGCCAACATGGAGTGCTGCAGATCCTCATCGCCATGATTCTGGGCGGCATCTTCAGCTCTTCATAGGTGCGCCTTTGTTTTACCTGGTGATATGTGGCAATTTGTCGGTGGGTGTGTGAGTCAAGGGCTCAGCTAGTGGGCCTGTAGCAGCAAGGAGTGCCACAGGTCGTGATCGCCATGATCCTGGGCAGGGTGGCATCTTCAGCTCCAACACGCCCCAGGGGCACTTCATAGGTGCGTATCTGGGTGAGGGAGCCAGGGCTAGCTATTGAGAGGTGGGAGGGAGTCTGGCTCAAGGGCTTAGCTAGTGGTGCCTGTAGGAGCGAGAGTGCTGCCAATTCTCATTGTCGTTACTCCTAATTCTGGCCGGCATCCTCACCTCCAACGCGCCCCAGGGGTAGGTGCACGCGCTTGGGTCACTGTGTGATGTGATGTCCGTACCCTACTGCTGCAGTAGTAGGAGGTGCAGCAGGAAGTGGCACTTCTGCAAAGTCGCCTATCCATGGTCCGAAGCCGTACCTTCACCCCCACACGCCCCAGGGGCAATTCATAGGTGCGCGTCTAGACTATGAGCTGGGGCTGTTCGTAGATGGATAGGAGGGTACGTGGGGTGGAGGAGGGGTCTTTGTTTTCGCCTGGGCCTTTGCACGCCCTGCCCTCCTCTCCCCTTTTATTTCCTCACTCCTCTCCAGCACCCCCAACCCCCACCAGGCGGCGCCCTGTCCATGACAATCACAGTAATAACCCCCACCAGGCGGCGCCCTGTCCATGACAATCACAGTAATAACCCCCACCAGGCGGCGCCCTGTCCATGACAATCACAGTAATAACCCCCAAGTGAATCACTTCTTTATTTCCACCCCACCCCTTCCTCTGCTCCTCACCCCTGCTCCCTCTCCCCACGTTCACACCCCCCTCAGCCCCCTTTCCTTTCTCACTTCTCCTGCCATGCGGCTGCTTGTGAATCCCTCCACAGCACTGGTGTTCAATTGCCTCCCTCTCATCGTCACCCCTCCCTCCCTGCTCCACCCCTCCCCCCCTCTCACCAGGCGGCTTCCTCTGCATCTCAACCACAGCCGTGGTGATCAAGTGCCTATTCTCTCCTATCCTTTTTCTCACTCCCTTATGCCAGCTTCCCCCAACCCTCCTGCTACCCTCCAGGCGGCTTCCTCTCAATGTCATATACGGTCGTGGTGCTCAAGTGCTTCCTCCCCTCATCACTCCCCCTTCTCTCTCCACCCTCGTTCCCCCCCATCCCCTACCGACCACGCGGCTTCCTATCAATGTCATCTATAGCCGTGGTGCTCAAGTGCCTCCTTCTCCCTTCTCTCCCTCCAACCCTTGCTCCCGCTCTCCCCCCCACACTCATTCCTCTCCCCTCTCTCCCTTGTCTTAACCAGGCGGCTTCCTATCAATGTCATCTACAGCGGTGGTGCTCAAGTGCCTGGTGGACATCAACGGCTTCAACTCTGAGCATGGCCAGGTGCAGTGTGGTGGGGCGTGGTGCAATGGGTTAGTGGGGGATTTAGCTGAGGAGGCAGGTGCAGTGCGGTGGAGGGGCCGTGGTTGAAGGAAGCACAGGCAGGTGTGGTGGATCCCCTGCCTGAAATAGGAACAGCCGTGTGTGGTGAGGGCCATGCCTTGCCAGTTATAGACACGGGCAGGTGAGTAGGGACAGGGTGCGGGCTGCATTCACATAGCCATCGGCTGGCGATGTTGTGTTGACACTTGGGAAGTTGCGGTATGAACAGGGGAGTTTTGCCTCTTTCCCCATCGCCCCACCCCTCCCCCCATGCCACCACTGCTTGCCTTGTCCTCTCCATGGCCCACCCATCCCGCTCCTCCTCCACCCCTCTTCCGCTCCTCCTCCACCCACCTTCCGCTCCTCCCGCCCTCTGTCCTCACTCCCCAAGTCATACCCGGCTGCCCTACCCCAAGACATGCTCAAAACGCGCACTCAACGCGCTGGGACTGGTCTGGTGCACATGGGCTTCCGCACGGCTGCTCTCTAAGCCTGCTCGAGCGTGTGTAAAGACCCCACCCACCCTTTTGTTAACCCCACCCCACTGGAACCCCTTCTGCCCTCCCGCAGATCATCCTGGCCACACTCTCATTATGCATGGCTGTGCCCTAAGCTTGCTCCTTTTCAGATGCCGGCACTGCTAGTTCACATTACAGTCCCCCATCTGCTCCCCCACTACCCCTTCTTCCGCGCAAACCCTCCCCCCCACCTTCCCTCCTCTGCCCTTCCCCAGATCATGCTCGGCACACTCATTGCACAGGACTGCGCCCTCGGGCTCCTCCTCGCAATAATGCCGGCGCTCGCCGCCCGCCCTGCATCCGCCTCGGCCATCCTCCTGGCCCTGGTGCGCGAGCTGCTCATTCTGCTCGCCTTCTGCCTCGTTGCCTGGGCGCTCTCCCGCCTGCTCGTGCCGCGCTTCCTGCGCCTGCTCGTGCGCGTGTCCAGGGGCAACAACGAGCTGTACCAGCTCGGAATCATGGGCAACTGCTTGTGTGTGGCGCTCTTGTCGGAGTATTTGGGATTGTCGCTGGAAGTCGGGGCGTTCATTGCTGGCCTCATGCTGTCAGGTATGTGCTGCTCTGTGCATGTATGTGTATCTGTGTTTGTTCTCTAGTGGCGCGTGTCCAGAGGCAACAACGAGCTGTACCAGCTGGGCATCATGGGCAACTGCCTCTGCGTGGCTCTGCTGTTCGAGTACCTGGGGCTATCACTTGAAGTGGGGGCGTTCATCGCAGGGCTCATGCTCTCAGGTGCGTGCTTGAGGTGGCTACATGCATGTGTATGTGCATGTTTATGTGCGCATGTACATATGTGCATGTCTATGTGCGCATGTATGTACGTGCCATATACTGGGGTGTGTCAGTCAAGGGGCAGGGACGAGGCATCATTGTCAAATGCCTGCGTCTGCATTTGCATTTCTCTCTTGCTTGAAGTGAGTGTCATTGATTGCGTCTCTTGCTTGAAGTGAGTGCCATTGATTGCGTCTCTTGCTTGAAGTGAGTGTCATTGATTGCGTCTCTTGCTTGAAGTGAGTGTCATTGATTGCATCTCTTGCTTGAAGTGAGTGTCATTGATTGCGTCTCTTGCTTGAAGTGAGTGTCATTGATTGCGTCTCTTGCTTGAAGTGAGTGTCATTGATTGCGTCTCTTGCTTGAAGTGAGTGTCATTGATTGCGTCTCTTGCTTGAAGTGAGTGCCATTGATTGCGTCTCTTGCTTGAAGTGAGTGTCATTGATTGCGTCTCTTGCTTGAAGTGAGTGCCATTGATTGCGTCTCTTGCTTGAAGTGAGTGTCATTGATTGCGTCTCTTGCTTGAAGTGAGTGTCGTTGATTGCGTCTCTTGCTTGAAGTGAGTGCCATTGATTGCGTCTCTTGCTTGAAGTGAGTGTCATTGATTGCGTCTCTTGCTTGAAGTGAGTGCCATTGATTGCGTCTCTTGCTTGAAGTGAGTGTCATTGATTGCGTCTCTTGCTTGAAGTGAGTGTTATTGATTGCGTCTCTTGCTTGAAGTGAGTGTCATTGATTGCGTCTCTTGCTTGAAGTGAGTGTCATTGATTGCGTCTCTTGCTTGAAGTGAGTGTTATTGATTGCGTCTCTTGCTTGAAGTGAGTGTCATTGATTGCGTCTCTTGCTTGAAGTGAGTGTCATTGATTGCGTCTCTTGCTTGAAGTGAGTGTCATTGATTGCGTCTCTTGCTTGAAGTGAGTGCCATTGATTGCGTCTCTTGCTTGAAGTGAGTGTCATTGATTGCGTCTCTTGCTTGAAGTGAGTGCCATTGATTGCGTCTCTTGCTTGAAGTGAGTGCCATTGATTGCGTCTCTTGCTTGAAGTGAGTGTCATTGATTGCGTCTCTTGCTTGAAGTGAATGCCATTGATTGCGTCTCTTGCTTGAAGTGAGTGTCATTGATTGCGTCTCTTGCTTGAAGTGAGTGCCATTGATTGCGTCTCTTGCTTGAAGTGAGTGTCATTGATTGCGTCTCTTGCTTGAAGTGAGTGCCATTGATTGCGTCTCTTGCTTGAAGTGAGTGCCATTGATTGCGTCTCTTGCTTGAAGTGAGTGTCATTGATTGCGTCTCTTGCTTGAAGTGAGTGCCATTGATTGCGTCTCTTGCTTGAAGTGAGTGTCATTGATTGCGTCTCTTGCTTGAAGTGAGTGTCATTGATTGCGTCTCTTGCTTGAAGTGAGTGTCATTGATTGCGTCTCTTGCTTGAAGTGAGTGTCATTGATTGCGTCTCTTGCTTGAAGTGAGTGTCATTGATTGCGTCACTTGCTTGAAGTGAGTGCCATTGATTGCGTCACTTGCTTGAAGTGAGTGTCATTGATTGCGTCTCTTGCTTGAAGTGAGTGTCATTGATTGCGTCTCTTGCTTGAAGTGAGTGTCATTGATTGCGTCTCTTGCTTGAAGCGAGTGTCATTGATTGCGTCTCTTGCTTGAAGTGAGTGCCATTGATTGCGTCTCTTGCTTGAAGTGAGTGTCATTGATTGCGTCTCTTGCTTGAAGTGAGTGTCATTGATTGCGTCTCTTGCTTGAAGTGAGTGCCATTGATTGCGTCTCTTGCTTGAAGTGAGTGTCATTGATTGCGTCTCTTGCTTGAAGTGAGTGTCATTGATTGCGTCTCTTGCTTGAAGTGAGTGTCATTGATTGCGTCTCTTGCTTGAAGTGAGTGTCATTGATTGCGTCTCTTGCTTGAAGTGAGTGTCATTGATTGCGTCTCTTGCTTGAAGTGAGTGTCATTGATTGCGTCTCTTGCTTGAAGTGAGTGTCATTGATTGCGTCTCTTGCTTGAAGTGAGTGTCATTGATTGCGTCTCTTGCTTGAAGTGAGTGTCATTGATTGCGTCTCTTGCTTGAAGTGAGTGTCATTGATTGCGTCTCTTGCTTGAAGTGAGTGTCATTGATTGCGTCTCTTGCTTGAAGTGAGTGCCATTGATTGCGTCTCTTGCTTGAAGTGAGTGCCATTGATTGCGTCTCTTGCTTGAAGTGAGTGTCATTGATTGCGTCTCTTGCTTGAAGTGAGTGTCATTGATTGCGTCTCTTGCTTGAAGTGAGTGTCATTGATTGCGTCTCTTGCTTGAAGTGAGTGCCATTGATTGCGTCTCTTGCTTGAAGTGAGTGTCATTGATTGCGTCTCTTGCTTGAAGTGAGTGCCATTGATTGCGTATCTTGCTTGAAGTGAGTGCCATTGATTGCGTCTCTTGCTTGAAGTGAGTGTCATTGATTGCGTCTCTTGCTTGAAGTGAATGCCATTGATTGCGTCTCTTGCTTGAAGTGAGTGTCATTGATTGCGTCTCTTGCTTGAAGTGAGTGTCATTGATTGCGTCTCTTGCTTGAAGTGAGTGTCATTGATTGCGTCTCTTGCTTGAAGTGAGTGTCATTGATTGCGTCTCTTGCTTGAAGTGAGTGTCATTGATTGCGTCTCTTGCTTGAAGTGAGTGTCATTGATTGCGTCTCTTGCTTGAAGTGAGTGTCATTGATTGCGTCTCTTGCTTGAAGTGAGTGTCATTGATTGCGTCTCTTGCTTGAAGTGAGTGTCATTGATTGCGTCTCTTGCTTGAAGTGAGTGTCATTGATTGCGTCTCTTGCTTGAAGTGAGTGTCATTGATTGCGTCTCTTGCTTGAAGTGAGTGTCATTGATTGCGTCTCTTGCTTGAAGTGAGTGTCATTGATTGCGTCTCTTGCTTGAAGTGAGTGTCATTGATTGCGTCTCTTGCTTGAAGTGAGTGTCATTGATTGCGTCTCTTGCTTGAAGTGAGTGCCATTGATTGCGTCTCTTGCTTGAAGTGAGTGCCATTGATTGCGTCTCTTGCTTGAAGTGAGTGTCATTGATTGCGTCTCTTGCTTGAAGTGAGTGTCATTGATTGCGTCTCTTGCTTGAAGTGAGTGTCATTGATTGCGTCTCTTGCTTGAAGTGAGTGCCATTGATTGCGTCTCTTGCTTGAAGTGAGTGTCATTGATTGCGTCTCTTGCTTGAAGTGAGTGCCATTGATTGCGTCTCTTGCTTGAAGTGAGTGTCATTGATTGCGTCTCTTGCTTGAAGTGAGTGTCATTGATTGCGTCTCTTGCTTGAAGTGAGTGTCATTGATTGCGTCTCTTGCTTGAAGTGAGTGTCATTGATTGCGTCTCTTGCTTGAAGTGAGTGCCATTGATTGCGTCTCTTGCTTGAAGTGAGTGCCATTGATTGCGTCTCTTGCTTGAAGTGAGTGCCATTGATTGCGTCTCTTGCTTGAAGTGAGTGTCATTGATTGCGTCTCTTGCTTGAAGTGAGTGTCATTGATTGCGTCTCTTGCTTGAAGTGAGTGCCATTGATTGCGTCTCTTGCTTGAAGTGAGTGTCATTGATTGCTTCTCTTGCTTGAAGTGAGTGTCATTGATTGC